CATTTCCCGGGAAAAACAAGCCCCCACCTTCCCCAAGGGCCTCCCAAAAGGCCCTTCCGGGTGTTCTGCTCCCCCTGGCCCGCAATCAAACCCCCCGCCCCCAAAACCAAACCAGGGAAACCCTGATCCCCTTGGAAAGGGAACCGACTTAACCCTTAAAAAACCCAAAAAAATCAAACCAATGGGGTCAAGAAAACCCGTCTTAAGAAACAAATCAAGGGATTTTCCTCCCAAAAACCCTTTCTTCCCCCCCTGCGAAAGGCAAACCCCCCAAACTTAACCCTCCCCAAAAAGGGTTTTTTTTCCCCCCCCACTTTTTAAACAAAAATTTCCCCAAAACTACAAATATCCTCCCCTCAAAAAATCCCCCGCCAAATAAGAACGAACCCGGGGCCAAAAAATCCCCCAAAAAACCCCATCTCCCCCCCCACCAAAGTACTTCCTGATTCCCCCCCGTAGCCAGGCCCCCCCAGGGATCTTTTCCCCTCCACCCAAAGCCACAAAAGCAGAAAAATTGCAACAAATCCCACCGTGTTACAACTGTTACTCATACCTACATACCACCAAAGACTGCCCTGCCAAGAATAAGAATTTCTGCTCCACCTGCGGCCAAGGAGGTCATGACCTCAAGACGTGCACTACTGCCTCACCACCTAAATATGTACTTGAACTGCAAGAATGATCACCATACTCTTGCTGTCAAGTGCCCAACCAGACGAGATATACTTAAGAAACAACTCCAACACCAAAAGAAACCCACTCCACAAGCAACTACATATGCTGCTATTACCAAGCTTCAAGCAGATTCTACCAAGATTCTTCAAGCCACGCAAGCTGCCTCTACCACTTCTCCGCCAGTTCCCGCTGGGGACTCAACCAATATTCTTTACTGTATCATGTATGCTCATGTACAGAATGTAGCTGAACCTGGTTCCTTTAAGACCATCATCAACGAACTCTTCAAGCTTAACAATATGCCTGGTTTTACATTCCCTGCATCCCCACCTTTCACTGAGATCATAAAATCCACTGCAAATCTCACCAACATCACTGCTGCTCCACCGCTCCCACAATCTCCACTCGACACAGAGATAGAGCAATCAGAGACCACTGACACGTCAGCAAATCCCATCAATGAGAGTCCACCACTGCCTGCTTCCACCACTGTCGCAACTAACCAATCAGAAGCCTCGCCTCGACCAGCTCAGCCGCCAGCCAAGAAAGCTGAAACACAAGAACCTTGAGACGCATCTCTCCGTGCCACGGCCACCGCTACACCACAACAAGCAGTCCAGGACATGACTGGTGTATACTTTTACACAACCAACCCAGATAAGGGCAAAATGCATATTTTGGAACTTGCTCACCCCCTCCAGAATGGAACAGTCAAGTACACCTGTGACCCAACTCATTCATACACCACTGAAGACCTCAAACGACTTACCTCGACCCTCCACATTGTGGAACTCGATTACACCTCAAAGCAGTTCAGTACCCTCCAGAATGGGTCTTGTGAAGACGGTATTCTCATCTAGCATGACTACCACTGACCACTCACCGTGAAGACAAGTTTCCCCAGCACTTCGCTGTCTGCTAAAGCTGGGGTGTGGCTCCCAAACTAACCCTGTAATTGCTGCCCTCAAGATGCTAAGCGAGAAGACACTCCCCACATGGGAGTCACAGCAAGACAGAAGAAGTCACCCTCCAACCGGAGGGCCCCAAGAAAGAAGACAGAAGAAAGATGATGAACGACACCCCCCATCCGGGGGGTAACCGCTGGGTCGCCACCTGGAGAAGACCTGGGCCAGAAGTACGGCAAACCATGAATGAATGAATGAACGAACCACAGCCCGACTGATCCGGCACCCTCTTTAGGTATATGAGCAGCTCCCTCTTGAAGACAACCAGGGGTCTTCCTGTAATGCCCATTATTGCAGGTGGGAGGCTGTTGAGCAGTCTTGGGCCCCGAACACTTACGTTTTCTCTTAGTGTACCAGTGACGCCCGTACTTTTCACTGGGGCTATGTTGCATCACCTGCCAAGTCTTTAGATTTCGTATGGAGTGATTGCTGTGTGCATATTAGGGACCAGTCCCTACAGAATCTTCCAGGTGTTGATTATGATATCTCTCTCTCGCCTGTGCTCTAGTGAATACAATTCAAGTGCTTCCAAGCGCTCCCAGTAGTTAAAGTCGTTTGATGGAACTTGTACGTGCAGTAAAGGTTCTCTGTACATTCTCTAGTTCTGTGTGTGTTTTGTGTTTGTTGTGTTTTTTGTTTTGTGTGTTTTGTTGTGTTGTGTTGTGTGTGTTTTGTTGTGTGTGTTTTGTGTTTGTGTGTGTTTTGTGTTGTTTGTGTGTGTTTTGTGTTGTGTGTGTGTTTTGTGTTGTGTGTGTGTGTTTTGTGTTGTGTGTGTGTGTGTTGTGGTGTGTGTGTGTGTTGTGTTGTGTGTGTGTTTGTGTTGTGTGTGTGTGTGTTGGTGTTGTGTGTGTGTGTGTTGTGTGTGTGTGTGTGTGTGTGTGTGTGTGTTGTGTGTGTGTGTGTGTGTGTGTGTTGTGTGTTGTGTGTGTGTGTGTGTTGTGTGTGTTGTGTGTGTGTGTGTGTGTTGTGTGTGTGTGTGTGTGTGTTGTGTGTGTTGTTGTTGTGTGTTGTTTGTGTGTGTGTTGTGTGTGTGTGTTGTGTGTGGGTGTTGTGTGTGTTTGTGTGGTGTTGTGTGTGGTGTTTGTGTGTGTGTTGTGTGTGTGTTGTGTGTGTGTTGTGTGTGTGTTGTGGTGTGTGTGTGTGTGTGTTGTGGTGTGTGTTGTGTGTGTGTTGTGTGTGTGTTGTTGTGTGTGTGTGTGTGTGTGTTGTGTGTGTTGTGTGTGTGTGTGTGTTGTGTGTGTGTTGTGGTGTGTGTGTGTGTGTGTGTGTGTTGTGTGTGTGTGTGTGTGTGGTTGTGTGTGTGTGGTGGTGTGTGTGTGTGTGTGTGTGTGTTGTGTGGGTGTGTTGTTGTGTGTGTGTTGTGTGTGTGTTGTGTGTGTGTGTGTGTGTGTGTTGTGTGTGTGTTGTTGTGTGTGTGTGTTGTGTGTGTGTTTGTGTGTGTGTTGTGTGTGTGTTGTGTGTGTGTTGTGTGTGTGTGTTTTGTGTGTGTGTGTGTGTGTGTTTTGTGTGTTTTCTGTGCGTGCATGCATACTCGTGTCTGATTGTGGTGTCCTTGCCTCTCTCTCTGGCGTTCTCCTGTGTCTGCGGCTTTCTCGCGTGTCTGCGCTGCGTTCGTGTTTATCTGCCATGCACACCACCCACCCACGGCTGGTACACCACCCATGCCACTCTCGCTTACACGTGCCCCACAAGTGCCTTGTACGCACGTCACAGGTGCCACACACGTATATCGCACGTGCATCACACAGGTACTACACGTACGTCACACACGCGTCACACAGGTGCCACACACGTACCTCGCACGTTCATGTGTGGGGGTGCGTGTGGGGATGCATGTGGGGCGCGTGTGTGGGGGCACGTGTGGGGGCACGTGTGTGGGGGCACATGTGGGGGTGCGTGTGGGGGGTGCATGTGGGGGGTGCGTGTGGGGGGCGCGTGCGGGGGGAGCGTGTGGCGCCTGTGTGACGCACATGCAAGGTACGTGTGTGGCACCTGTGTGACGCACGTGCGAGGTATGTGTGGGGCACCTGTGTGACGCGCGTGCGAGGTATGTGTGGGGCACCTGTGTGACGCGCGTGCGAGGTATGTGTGGGGCACGCGTTAGCTAGAGTGGCATGGGTGGTGTACGAGCTGTGGGTGGATGGTGTGCATGGCATGGGTGGTGCTCATGGCATGAGCAGGTGTGGTGTGGGTGGTGTGGTGTGTGGGGGTGGTTAGTGTGGGTGGTGTAGTGTGGGTGGTGTAGTGTGGGTGGTGTAGTGTGGGTGGTGTAGTGTGGGTGGTGGTGGGTGCTGGTGTGTAGTGTGGGTGGTGTAGTGTGGGTGGTGTAGTGTGGGTGGTGTAGTGTGGGTGGTGTAGTGTGGGTGGTGTAGTGTGGGGGTGGAGTATACAAGGGTTTGTTTTGGGGGTATGTGGGGTGTAGGGTGGGTTGTAGGTATTGAGTGGGGGGGGGGTCCTGTTTGTGAACACATGGGGGTGCATCATTAATTCAAATATAAGACAATCTGGTACATTACAAAGATATTAGATACATGGAAGTAAAAATCAAATTCATCAAAACTTCACATCAGCTAAGAGGCAGTAATCAAAAGTGAAATCACACCTGTAATTCCAAATTTGCTCAAATTTTATTTGCATTAGAAAGGAAACGAATTTCATAAATACATAAGAACAATGCTGTTGCAGGCACCACTTTGAAAACTGGACATGGCTTATATTCTACCTCAAAAGGAAAATTTAGTAAATTCATTGAAATTAAATGATTAAAATAATCTGGAATAATTATACTTAGCAAGAAAATATTTTTCCTTGCTCCTCTTGCATAACTACGAGGTTGAGGATGTAGGTGTTACTCGTCAAGTGTCAACATTCCACCCTCTGCCACAAAAGGTTGTGTTAATTAAAGATTATGACATTAAGAGACTCATTGTTGAGATGTCAACATTCTAAAGGTATCTACAATGTCAGTGTTGCACTGAATTGGAGATCTCTCAGTCATATTGATGAGCATGGAAGTGATAGTTGTCTGCATGTAAGGATATGAAAATGGTCGATGAATTACATTGAGAAAATGTGCACCTGGAATATAATGAAAAGAAAATCAACTTAAAAATATTACTTAATAAAACACAGGTGTTCTAAAGAATTTTATCCAGTCATAATAAGTAACAAGGACTAGTCTTAAAAAAGACAAAAAAAAAAAAAAAAAAAAAAGCAGCAATCCAAACCTCCAATGTTAGATTCCTTCAGAAGTTCCAGATGGAAAATGCAGAGTACCTGGACTATATCAATCCTGGATACGATATCCACACAAAATTTAGTAAATTGCACTTATCAAAAGACAGATCACCAGAGACTGACCTTAGAAGCTTTGATCTGGGCTTCAATCTTGTCAGCCTCTGTATGCATGCCTTGTGACCGGTAGTACTCAATCCACTGTTGAGAATAATCTTGAGCACCAGTGCCTCCTCCAACGCCACCTCCTGGGGTTGCTGCCTGCACACCTCCACCCTAGAGCATCAATAAAACAAGAAGATTAACAAGTGCCCCATGACACTAAGATTGTTCACTGGCAAGAGGTATAATTTCTTATATTTAAGAATTAAGTACATTCACCTAATTCCCATAATGATTTTTTTTTTTATCTTCCTTTTTAAGAAACTTTAACTTCTACAAATTACTAATGCTCCAGAGTGGCAGACTGGCTGTTTGGGTAAGGACTTTTTCTGGCAATAAAAAATTATTTCCCACCTGCTGTGGTGCCGCATTGGGACCGGGTCCGCCCACTTTCATCCCTTTAGCTTGTTGTTCAATTGCCTCAGCCTCTCTGTGCATTCCCATACTTCGGTAGTAGTCTGCCCACTGTGCTGAGTAGTCTGGCTGACCACCTGCAACAAACAGTGGCAATGAAGTTAAAAACTTTGACTGAATAAATGACGTAAGGTGATAGTGTACGAGTTGTTTGAGTGTAAACACAACAGGAAAAAACGGAAAAAGATAAAGAGTAGGATACATTTTGCCACTAAGTGGCTAGCTTAATGTTCACCACACCCACTAATCCTTGCATGGAAGTGCAAGAGTGCATAGATTTGCAAAAGGCCTAGGAACTAAAAACAGTAAATGGGTGGTTATGTTAGGAAGTGAGGTCTTTCACTTGTATGGAACAAGTAAATCAGGTATTCAAAAGAGCAACATTATCATCATATATGTACAAGTATGAAAGCAAAGGAAAAATACTGAGAAACTACCAAATAATGTTGCTTTAATCCAATAAATAAAATTACCTTATTACCATTCATAATTTATAAAAAGAGTACATAATAATTAGTATTTGAATAGTTCTAGGAATTTAGTTCTTAAGGAACTTTGGTACAATTTGACATTTACAGAATTCAGAAGAACAAAGTACCCAAAAATTTACCCCCCCTTTTGGAGGTCCTGGGGGGAAGGCTGGCTGGGGGTTTTTTTGCGGCGGGCTAGTTGGGGGACTTTTTCGGGGTTTTTTGGTTTTTCTGTCCACCGTGTACGGGAGAATATTTCGCTCCCCAAGCTCCCGCATTAGCACACCAGCTTGTTTTGGGGCCAATAAACCGATTTTTATAATTTGCACAGCACGGGTGCAAAACCCACATTCACCCCCCCTTTACAGGTGTGACATCCCTGTGCCCCCCCCCATTTTCACCCACTGGCAGGTGGGGTTTATTTTGGGTAACCCTTATTCACTTCACTTAAAAGGCATGAAAATGCACCCCCCCAAATTCTTTTTCATGACAGGCAGGGACAAATGCAGGGCCCGTTTTCACCTACTGATAGGCCAAAAAATTTGCAAAACCACATTCACTTTCATGACGGGGAATCATGTTGGTAAAAGGAAAAACGTACCCCTAAGCGACTTTTTTCATTGTGGCAAACGTTTCCCCTTTTCAGGCTTGATAAAGCTCCTGGAAAGCAAAAATGTTGCCACAAAAAAATGTCCTTTAGTTGCACTTGTGTCCTTTTATCTCACATATTGTGAAAATTTCTCCCCAATTTTTAATAAAGGTGTCATGTTTTTGCACAAAGAAACCTACACCTTTTCCCTGACAAATTTCGCTTTTGTTACACTGTTAGTTTTTTTGTAACAAATTTTTTCTTTAATTACAAAACTCCCAAACTTCCTTGATTTCCCCCCCAAACCCCGGGTTTTGGGGGGGGGAGGGGAGCAAGGGGGATGAGGGGGAAAGGGGGGCAAGGGGGATGAGGGGGGGGGGGAGCAAGGGTAGTGAGGGAGAAGGCAGCAAAAGGGGAAAAGGGGGAGTGAAAGAGGGGGGGGAAAAAGCAAAAAAAGGAGAAGGGGGAGCAAAAGAGAGGGGGGAGCAAGAGAGGGGGGGGGGCAGCAAGAGGAGAGGGGGGAGCAAGGGAGGGGGGGGCAGAAGAGAGAGAGGGGGGCCGCAAGGGAGGGGGGGCAGCAAGAGAGAGGGGGCAGGGAAGGGGAGAGGAGGGGGCAGCAAGAGAGGGGGCGGCACAAGAGAAGAGGGGACAGCAAGAGGGGAAGGGCCCGAAAAGGGGGAAGAAAAGGGGGAAGAGATAACCCAAAAAAAAGGGTTTCAAAAGAGCTGATGTAGGTAACAGCTCTTAGCTTCCAATAAAGTTAGGAATCCTTAACCTGTAATATAGCTGTCAATAAAGCTAGGGATCCTTAACCTTGTCAAACCTGTGTAAGAGAGGAGAGGAGAGAGGAGAGCAGAGAGAGAGGAGAGGGAGAGAGGAGAGAGGGGGAGGGGAGAGAGAGAGGGAGGGGGAAGAGAGAGAGAGGGAGGGGAGAGGGGGAGGAATGAGAGAGAGAGGAGGGGAGAGAGAGAGGAGAGGAGAGGAGGGGAGAGAGGAGAGGAGAGGAGAGAGGGGAGGGAGGAGAGAGGAGAGAGAGAGAGGAGGGGAGAGAGAGGAGAGAGGAGAGAGAGGAGAGATGAGAGAGAGAGAGAGGAGAGAGGAGGAGAGGAGAGAGGAGAGGGGAGGAGAGGAGAGAGAGGGGAGAGAGGAGGAGAGAGAGAGAGGAGGGGAGGGGGAGAGAGAGGAGGAGGGGAGGGGGGGAGAGAGAGAGGAGAGGGGAGAGAGGAAGAGGAGGAGGATGGGGAGGGGAGGGGGAGAGAGAGAGAGGAGAGGGAGAGAGAGAGAGGGGAAAAGAGAGAGGAGAGGAGAGAGAGGAAAGAGGAGAGAGAGAGAGGAGGGGGAGGGGGAAGGGGGAGGGAGAGGAGAGAGAGGAGAGAGAGAGGGGAGAGAGAGAGGGGGAGAGAGAGGAGGAGAGAGAGAGGGGAGAGAGAGGAGGGGGAGAGGGGAAAGGGAGAGAGGGGAGGAGAGAGAGAGAGAGAGGAGAGAGAGAGGGAGAGAGAGAGAGGGAGAGGGACGAGGAGAGAGGGGGAGAGAGAGGAGAGGAGAGAGAGGGAGGAGAGAAGAGTGAGAGGGGAGGGAGAGAGAGAGAGGGAGAGAGAGGGAAGAGAGAGAGAGAGGAGAGAGGAGAGAGGGAGAGAGAGGGGAGAGGGGAGGAGAGAGATGAGGGGAGGAGAGAGAGGAGAGAGAGGAGAGGAGAGGAGAGAGGAGAGAGAGAGGTGAGAGAGAGGAGGGGAGAGAGGAGGGAGAGAGAGAGAGAGAGAGAGGGAGAGAGAGAGGGAGAGAGAGGGAGAGAGAGAGGAGAGAGAGAGGAGAGGAGAGGAGAGGGGGAGGTGAGGGGGAAGGGGAGAGGGGAGGAGAGAGAGGGGAGAGGAGAGGAGAGAGAGGAGAGGAGAGAGAGGAGAGGAGAGAGAGGAGAGGAGAGAGAGGAGAGGAGAGACAGGAGAGGGAGACAGGAGAGGAGAGACAGGAGAGGAGAGACAGGAGAGAGAGGAGAGGAGAGACAGGAAAAGAGAGGAGGGGAAAGAGACAGGAGGGGAGAGGGGGAGACAGGAGAGACAGGAGAGAGAGGAGGAGACAGGAGAGAGAGGAGAGAGAGGAGAGAGAGGAGGAGAGAGGGAGAGAGAGGAGGAGAGAGGGAGAGAGGAGAGAGAGGAGAGAGAGGAGAGAGAGGAGAGAGAGGAGAGAGAGGAGAGAGAGGAGAGGAGGAGAGAGAGGAGAGGGAGAGAGGAGAGAGGGAGAGAGAGGAGAGAGAGGAGAGAGGAGAGAGAGGAGAGAGAGGAGAGAGAGGAGAGTTAATAATCAGGGAACCTTCACTGCACCTGATCACCTACTGCGCCAAAGTACGAACAGCAGGGACACATCTGTCAGAACTGGTAGAGGACGGGGCAGAGGACGTGGAGGAGGAAGACATCTACAGCCGTCTCACCCTCCACTAACACAGTTCCAGCAGCAGAATCTGAGGACAAATCTGCAAAACACAGGAGGTGCAACAAATCCTAGTCCACCCTCCCAGGCACCTAGGCTGTGCTCCAGCTGTCACCGGAAGGGGCACACTGCCAACAACTGCCTGCGAGATACCAGGTGTAATTACTGCTACAAGAAAGGACATAAGGAGGACCAGTGTGGGGAAGAAAAAAGGAACTGGGACAGACAGGGCCACCTGTTTAGAGACCTGTTCTCAGAACAAACCAGCAGGATCTCTGAATTGGTGAACACACTCACACGTCACCCACTTAGCTACTCCTATCCCGCCAGCAGGTGGGATTGTGCCTTATACAAGACCACAGACCTACATCCTGCAGCTGCCTCAGTACCCTACCTCTCTAAAGGGCAGGCACCTTACATGCCCTACCACACCCACCACCTCAAGCTGCCCAAATCATGAGGAGCCAGTCTATAAAGCATCCTGTCGGCCAACATTAGAGGTTTCATTACTAATGTTGGAGAGCTCACACATAGTTTTGTGAACACTCGATGACCGACTGATAGCTGTTGTTGAAACATTTTTGGGATGAACAGGACTCGGGAAAAATTTTTGCAAGAATTGCTGGCTACCCTCATGGGATGAGAAGAGACAGGCAAGGGCAAGGAGGAGGTGCTGCTATGTGCTTCTCTAAAGTGTGCATGCCCAGCACATTGATGTTGCCATCCCTACTTATCTTGAAATGATGTCCTTCAAACTCGTATAAACATAGTACCTCTGTACTAGCATGTGCAATGTACAGACCTCAGTGGCAACACGCGGGACCCTATCAACTTCCTAAGGGAAAAATATTGACTCCCTTCTGCTACAACACAACTGTCAACATTTTTTTAATTGTTGGTGACCTCAACCAGCACCTTATACAGAGGGACTTTGATGACCTTCTTGCAGTGTTTGACTTTGAGAAACTTTGTTGATTTCCCTACTCATATCTCTGGCTCTCCTTGACCAGTAGTGAGTGATCTGGCAGAAGGCATAGTCACTCGTCAACCCCTCGGCTACGTTGGTTTCGTCTGACCACAAGGCTGTTTTTCCCACACTTAAGATCCCAACAGAACGAGGTGAGGGGTCCACAGCAAAACCTGGCTATGGGAAAGGGGTTTAATTGGCCAGCCCTTTGCTCTGAGCTCGCCACCAACTGACTGGAATGCTTTCTCCAGGGGGATGTTGACAACCAAGTGAAAGCCTTCACTGGACAAATCCTTAATCTGCAACAAGAACACTTTCCCTCACCGGCAATATGTGACAAAGCCTACAGATCAGCCTTGGTTTGGCTTTCGTTTGTAGGGAGGCTGCTACTGCTAAGTTACAAAGCATGGCAAAGGTATAAGAGACATCATACCAACTATAACGGGAAAACTTGCACATGCAACCCTGTAGGCATATGAGTGATTTTTAAAAAGTGGGCCATTGCTAAATGGGAGGTGGACACTAAAAGAAAGTTAGCATCAGGTAGGGTAGGCCCCCAAAACCTGGTGGTCCCTGGTCAAGGACAGACAAGGTTATCTGCCTGATGAACTTATTCCCCCTTTAAATCGACAGGATGGGCCCAAACCTCTACTAGTAGTCAGAGAAGGCGGACCTCTTTGCTGAACACTTTGTTTACCAAAATGCAATTTCCTGATCCAGCAAGGGACCCTCCTTGGCTAGCTGCACAAAATGTGTCAAAACTGTCAGT